ACACACACACACACACACACACACACACACACACACACACACACATACATTTGGAAAAAGTAGTTTTAGGTGTTTTGTATGTTTAAGAACATCCAGGATGAGTGGGAGCAGAAATAAAACCACATTCCTGTGTGTAACATTGAACAAGTTCACAGTAAACAAATAAAGAGTTTAAATTCGTACTTATACTCAGTAGAGCGAAGAACTAATGGTGGAGATTTCTAAACGAGGCTTTCTGTCACTTGAGGTTGGTTCTCATCACACGTTCATGTTTCTGACACGTTTGGTTTCGACTTCTTCTTACGCCCATGAACCCGTCTCCTCCACACTCCCTCTCCTCTCTCTCCTCCATCTCAGGCTCGTGTTTTCAGAAATATTTTGGTTATTAATCACTTTTATCATCTTCATCCTCGTCATCCCAGCTGTTGAGGGTTTAGTTTGAAAAGCCTGCGTCTCGCCGAGGATTCAGCTCAGGTTCATTAAACGGCTTCTCTGTTCTCTGGCTCTAACCAGGTTTCTTGTTTTCTCGTGACCCAGCGACTTAACCAGCTTTACTGTGTCTTATCAGGCCCTTTAATCAGCGCTGCCGATGTTATTACACAACATCTTCCCGTCAGGATTCTGCTGAACCGCCCTTGGGCAAAAGCACTGAGACCACACACTCCACGACGTCCAGCTTCCAAACACAGATCCGTCTGAGTTCTCGGAGAAAGATATTTTCTTCCCTGGATAAATAAGAGTTTTATAACGGGCGACTTGTTCTCACGCTGTCAGCTGAAGCAAATTAACACCATCCCTCAAAAAATGTGCACCGTCACATCCTCAGATGCAGGAGACCCGTGGGTGAAGCGCTGGGGACTGAGACGAGCTCTAACTCACACCCTGCCGCAATTAACATCAGTTGAATCTTGGTCAAGGTGCGGCAGACTGAGCGGCGGCTGTATCCATCTTGATGATCTGAACGTGACGATGTGGGAGCCGTGTTGTTTTATAGCTTCCATTAACAGCCGACTGTGGCTGCGAGAATGTGACCGCGAGCAGGAGAAATACGACCGCACGCCCTCGCCGCGGAATGACCCAGCTGGGAGAGGGAACGGCCTCCACCGAAATTACTTTTCATGCCACAACCCTCGACATCGCTTTAGCTGGAAAGGACACGTGTCCCTCCCGCCACAAAAGACACACACATCGTTTCAAAATGATGGAAGGCACCAAAGTTAAACGAGTCGAATTATGTTCAGGAAGCGTCGACGGCTTTGTGACCACTTTGAGAACGAGACGAGCGACTGATTCATGTCAGGTCCTAAAAAACGTAGAAACAGATGTATGCGGTGCGTTTCATCTCGATTTGAGATGCTAACGTTGACGAGTCTTGCCGCCTTCGTCTTTGCAGATGGTTTGGGAGAACGGCTGCGTGGTCATCGTCATGCTGACGCCTCTCGTCGAGAGCGGAGTGAAGCAGTGCTACCATTACTGGCCTGACGAGGGATCCAACCTGTACCACATCTACGAGGTAAGAAATGTTCTGCGTCTGTCCAACGTTGTTAAAGTAAATAAGCTGACGTGTCTTCCATTGATTGGATCGATCTTATCCTCCATGTACGTCATTTATCAACGTGAACACAGGAGATGCAAGTTTCAAATCTGAAATTAAAGTTGGTAGAAGTCCTGAATAAAAGCTGTGTTCGTGTTGTTTGCACCTGTCGCAGGTCAACCTCGTGTCCGAACACATCTGGTGCGACGACTTCCTGGTCCGTAGCTTCTACCTGAAGAACATGCAGACCAACGAGACGCGGACCGTCACTCAGTTCCACTTCCTGACATGGCTCAACCAGAACGTCCCGGAGACCAGCCGCACGCTCCTCGACTTCCGCAGGTAGGGAGCTTCTTCAGAAACTGAGAAGAAATAAAATATGATGTCAGCCACGTGATGACGACTCGTCCCAGCACGTACACTGACTCCTCCGTCCTTCTGGATATTGAACACGTGGCTGTGGCCCCACCACATGAATAATGACTTCTTTGAGCATTTCTACTTGAAGAGTTTATTGGAGCTTCTCGTTTGAAGAACAGGAAGAACTCAGGGCTGATTTTCATGCCGATAGCAAAAGCACAGAGGTTTTCAGAAGCCTTGAAGAAACCTTTGGAAGAGACACTCAGAAGAAAAAGACTGTTTGAGAACAGGATTCATTTCCACTGCAGAACTGAAGAACACTTTGTGTGAGGTCTTCAAGAATCTGTGGTTGGTTTGATAACACGACTGGTTATGAGAAACGTCCTCGCTTTGACTGAACGAAGGCGACTTAAGTCTGTGAAAAAGATCCGTGAAGAGACGAGAGAGAAGTTTAGTTCGAGTGTAGTTGAAACTGTAATTTAGCTTTTGTGTAAAACAAGGAAACGTGTCAGAGCAGAACTCATTTTCCAAACTTTGTTATCCGACTCAAACCTGCTGATCTTCAACACGCATGTGTGTGGGAAACATGCGGATTCAGTGCAACATGATGAAACCTTTACTTTAGCAAAACAGCGCCCCCTGCAGCCACACGTAGTGATTTACTGTGTTTGGCTCCGTGATATTTCAGGATGAGGAGAGGAAACTTTCTCCATATTCACACTCACTCAAACATCAGTCTCACTTTAATCAAGCTGCTGATTCTGGGTAAAAGAGTTGCGGCATTTTCTTCTTCTTTGTGCCACATGATGAGTTTGGATATCTGAGTCAAAATGAAACTAATTAAATCGACGGGTAAGGACGCGTGTTCCTCCCCTGAACCCCTGAATCGTGCCGGTGGAGCCTCCGTGCCTTCGCTCGCAGCAAATTAACTTCAAACATCTCACTTCTGCAGGAGTTTTGACTCGTGACCCTGAGATGCCGGCAGAAAAATATGTATATCCTGAAACATCCCGAGCATCTTCCAGTCGATAACAGTGTAATTGAAGATGCATTGAGGGAACTCAGTCGAGTGATCCTTTATCTCTGGCGCCTTTTATAGCCGCTCGCCTTCGACCTCTTTTAAACTGATATACTTTATTGCCTATTAGGTGGGAGCCGCCCCGGCTCCTTTGCTCTGATTCACTGTGGATTTTCTGCAGCGATAGACCCCGACTGTGGTTTATATATTGGCCCGGTGTCGCCGCGTTCGCTGGCGCACATCAATTAGGTGAGAAATCAGGAGTGAGGGTTTGTGGTCACAGCTATTATAAAGGGGTCTGGTGGGCGTCGCCACCCACCATCAGTTGGGAATTATTGCCTCTGCTCGCAGGGCGTCGGGGTCAGGACACAATGAAGACAGCGCAGAGAGAGAGATTTTTCATTTTTATTACCGGGGACAAAATGCCCCTGTTTTTTCTGTGTTGGTTGTTTTTCCACCTCGATGGTTTCAGGACGGCGGCGGAAATGTCTCTCCTTCCTGTATGTGCTCGTGCCGGCATGTTTTTTTTTTTATTTTTTAACCTGACTCACACCTGACCGAGCCGACGCTTTGCTTCCTCTCTCCCTTTCCCCCGTTTTACCAGCTAACTTGCGGTTGCCAGTGTCATTTTTGTGATGTTGCAGCTAGTAATATGAGCCCAGTTGCATAGTCACAAAAGTGATCATTGGAGACTGTGACTCTGCAACCAAGGGGCCTCATGGACCCCCCCCCCCTTCACTTTTACTCCTCTTTTATCCCCTCCCTTCTCTCCGCCTCCTCCATCCCTCCCCTCGCCGTGCCCGGTGACCTGAGGTGACCTCTCGCCCCTTTTTTGCTTGCTCATGGTTTGCTCGACTGCCTCCAATCTCCTCCCACCTCCTATCCCCCCCCTCCCCCCCCACTCCCTCTCTCTCGGTGGCTTTTCTTCCCCCCCCCGCCCTCGTTCTGTCGCTTCCTCCTCCTCCTACCCTCATGTCTGTCTCCATTCCTGTCTCACTTGATGATTTCTGAATACGAGACACTTTCTTTCCTGCCATCACTTCACGCCTCGCAGGAGTCGCTGGCACCTGACTATCGAGTCCCTCTCGCGGGGGGCGTTCCCTTCGAATCCCACACCCCTGTATACAACCTCCCCTCCACCCAAACCTCGGTGATCCTCTGCCGACTGTTTCCATGGTGACATCACTTTTGACCGTCTGCTGCGAGCTCGAACTTTTCTCCTCAGGTTGGGGCGGAGGATGAAAAATGTCCTTAGAGCCGGTTCAGTGGAGATAAACGTCATTTTGTTCAGTTGTTGTGAAGTCGCCGGATGGATGTCAAAAGACGAGAGTTCTAAATTACTACATCATCGGAAAAAAAAAGAAAACGGACTTTCATGGAAACACGCCCAGTGGAGTCGTTCCCACGTTCTCAAGCTTAAAAACATTTTTGTGGGAAAGTCAATTAAAGATACAGTTTGATAATAAACTTAATAAATGAACTTTGAGCGAACTGTCCTGTGCATGTTGTTCTTTTTTTCAGATTCAACATGTTCTGCCTGTGTGCGCTGCTCTTCCTGTGACATTAACGCTGGTTTCTTCTTTCTCTTCTGTGTTTTTTTACAGGAAAGTTAACAAGTGCTACCGGGGACGCTCGTGTCCTATCATAGTCCACTGCAGGCAAGTACCTGAATGAATAACCACGTTTTACCGTCTGTTCCATGATATCTGTGTTTCATGTTGTTAATGAGCAAACGAGATGAACAGACGAACGGATCAATCGAAGCTGAGCTCACCGATGCTCTGCCGTGGTTCCGTTTCTCACCGGCGCTGTTGTCGCTCGTCGCCGTGCAGAGGACGACGAACATTTCAAAATGAGAAATTAGCCCCAAAGTTGTGATTTGATTTGACAAACTGTCCACGGAGGAGGGTAACTTTTAATTAGTCACTTCAAAGTTTGCAGTGTGACGGTCGGAGCCAGTGGGTGAGAAGGAGAGAGGGATAAATAGAAGAAGGCAGTGTTGCAGCAGTTTGTGTGTGTGTGTGTGTGTGTGTGTGTGTGTGTGTGTGTGTGTGCAGACCCACACCACCTGAGGAAATAAGTTAGACCAGTGAGAAATGATTAAATCGCTATTTAACAGAAAAATCTGCGACAGTTTTTTTGCAGAGACACTCTGCGATGATTGGAGTAGTGGGAAAAAAAAAAACCTCCCATCACAGATTGCCGTTATGTCTGTCTGCTCCCTCCACCACTAAGTGATCTATTATTTAATATGGCGGATGATGAACCTATACATCTCTCAGCTGAGTCTGCAGCGGCGTAAATCAAACTTGTTTTTACGAAGCTTCAGCCTCAGCAGCTGGAAACATCCTGAAGTTCTCGACTTAAACTAACGAGAGCACTGCTCGTTCTGCGCTCGCCTGTTTGCAGCGGGGCGATCGCTCGGCCCGCGGTGTTGCAGACAATTTACAGACTGTAACTCCGAAGTCTCTCAGTACAGCTCATAGGGTTAGTTAACCCTAACCCAACATCCACACACTCTGTTTTCATCAAGATCCAATAAATGGAAAGTTACTGAAATAATCGAAAAGCAAATTATATTGCGAAGATAAAGAAAGTTAAACCCATAGATTTTTAATAAAGATGGACGACATAACGGTCTTAATCCCCCCCTGGTGGCTGGCTGCAGTATAGGTCATAAACCCAGCCTCCTCCATGTTAGTGGAGTTATTTGATGATATAAAAGAAATCCGATGATCACTGATGACGTCAAAAAAGTAAGAATGGCGGCTCCTCAATCCCAGAGTCTTCGTAAAAACACTTTTCATAGCATAAAATGCAGCTTAACGTGCTTTAGAGGGAAAATGTAAATAAAACAGGACAATAAAAGATGTTTCAAAATTAAAACCTTGTAAGACGTTAGGTTTAGTTTTCAGGCGTTTTCATCTTGGGCTCATTCCTCTGCACAACCGGCCAATCGTGTCAGAGGATGTCGTAATGAAAGGATCAAGAACGCCTGATGTTCATCCTGTAGAGCTTTCAAACCAGTCTGCCAAAGCCGAGTGTGCACAGCCATTTATCACCCTAATGTACAGGGAGAGCCGAGCGGGGCGATCAGGATGAGGAGTGAGCAAACAGACGAGCGCAGATGCAGAAATTCAATAATCGCACAGTGTTCGGAGAGCGTCTCTCCCTCTCACGGGATCTCTCTCTCTTCTTGCCTTTTTCCGTTTCATCCATCTCTCTTTTTCTGCTTTCCATCTTGTCCTTTCCTTCTCTTTCTCTGCCCCTCTCTCCTCATGTCTCTTATCTAAATAGACTGAGGGAAGGCTGCAGACATCTTTACATGTTTACTCACAGCCCTCGTGCTTCTCTCACGCACGCGTCACGCGTCTTTGATCGTCTTGTAACGATCCTGACGAGGCGCAGCGACACGACAGATCTCATCTCTGCGAAATAACCTGGAGTGAACGCACACACACAGACACACAAACCGTCTGAGATCAGAGTGATAGTGGTATCTGTGAAGATCATGCACACACACACACACACACACACACACACACACACACACACACACACACACACACACACACACAGAGAGGGGTGTACTACTCAATTAAGGTGTGTGTGCGGGGGGAGGCTTGTAGAAAATAACCAAAGCCCCAGTGAAAATGAAATATTCACAAAATATGGATGCATGCCAGAACACACACACACACACACACACACACACACACACACACACACACACACACACACACACACACACTGGTCCATGAAATAGAGTGGTCGGGGTGAAGACATCAATTTTCAACACTTGAAATAAATCTAGGATACAAAATGTTCCCTCCATTTCCTTCAGTTGTTCGGTTTGCGTCTCCGCTGTTTGATAATTTTTTTCCAGAGCAGAAGAACACTCCGAAAGGAAAAGTTTAATCCTCCTTAAAATACAATAACTTATTACCTAAGTTAAACTTAATGAGGAACAAAGGCAACTGAAGAAACAGCAGCTGATCTTCGTCTCATTTTAAAATGTTTAATAAAATGCTTCCTGCAAAAATGTCCCCACAGAATGATCAATGTGTTTTATCTTGAAAGTTATATTTCAATGAAGATATTTTAAAGAGGCACCGGCTGCAAACGTACACTTATGACCAGAACATATTCAGAGGAAAAGAAACTACGATCAAACTATTTTGCCTTCTGGGTTTTACAGTCAATTAGCAACAAGACAATGTTTCATGTAATCAACAGTTGTCCAGACGAACCACAGACAGATTTCTGGAGTGTTGAGATGGATGATTGTTGAATGTAGCCTCGTATCGACAGTGTTTTCATGTGTGACATCATCAAACCCCGACTCACTGAATTAACGCTCCTCTCTCTCTCTTCCTCCCCACTCTGTCTCGTTGTCTCTCGCCCACCCGTGCAGCGATGGTGCAGGACGATCTGGGACCTACACCCTGATCGACATGGTCCTCAACAAGATGGCTAAAGGTTTGTGGCCTTTTCTCTTTTTTCGACAAATCTTCCAGCTCATACAGAACAACTGTTATTGTCATCGCGTCAAACTCACATCGGTTTAATCACAGCTGCGTCATAATGCAAATAAGATGAACTTAAACTCTTTAAAATCCAAAAAGGAAACGTGACTTTTATAGTAAAATGGGAGAAATAAATGATTTAAGAGGTGAAGAGGAAAAAGAGACACTAAACTTCTTCCTACGTTTAAAGTCCAGAAGCTGTTTTTAAATCAGTAAATCGTTATTCAAAGTGTCATCGGGACTCAGCCTGTGCATTTTAAGCACGACATGAGTGTGCGATAATTACTATAATTACATTATGATATAATAAACACAGGGAAGTAATTATGTAGGGGACTGAATATTTTATGGGACACTGGCAGTTCATGCATAGTATTAAATTAAATGCTTCTCTCTGAGGTTCTGTCTGATTACATTCAATTATATAGTAATATTAAAGTATGTAGATTGATTTTTTTAGGAGGAAGGAGTCATTTTTAGTTCCTGGGTTTATAATGATTACATCTGTTTCAAAATGGGCACTAATGTGCACTTACAGGAAAGACTACAGGCTTCTGTTTGAGTGTCCTCCACTGGAAGTTTCCCCAGGAACCATAGGAACCTTTGTGTTTCCACTGTAGACAAATAAATAACGTAGGCCACTTAGATGTTCCATGTGCTAACATGGAGGAGGCGGGGTTTATCACCGTTATCGCAGCCAGCCACCAGGGGGGCGTAAGATGATATGGCCTCACCTTGTGGAGCTGTCCTGTCGTCCATATTTATTTATAGGCAAATTTTTGTAGAGTCTAAATTAGCACTTAACGGAAGTACAGGCACTTTCGGGGCGTGGCCTACCGGGCTGAAGTTGCGTGATTGGTTGAGTAACCAAGCGTTTTATTTCAGCTCATCAATCAAAAAACTCTAAAATCTGTTTCCTTACTTTAACGTTTCAGCTGTTTTGAATTTTCTTTATTGCTCGAGCTCGTCTCTTCTTCTGAGCACGATGTCGCTCGATCATTGATAGTCTTCCGCATTACCGCCACCTAGTGGATCCTGGGCGTCAGCCCTCGGTTTTCAGACGGAGGTGGAAACGCACAATAAGTTTAAAGTCTAAATGGAAATTAAGATGAAAGAGTTTATCAGTAAAAAAAATAAAATGATTAAAAATTGTGAGACTTCTTTGTGGAGGATCTGATCACAGCTGTTTCCTTGTCCGAGATTTTGCACGTGTGTGTGTGTGTGTGTGTGTGTGTGTGTGTGTGTGTGTGTGTGTGTGTGTGTGTGTGTGTGTGTGTGTGTGTGTGTGTGTGTG